TCCGCCAGGTTCTCAGTGTGTAATGACAGTTCAGCATCTCATGGGTACCTAGTAACCAGGGGACGCTGGACTGTCATTACCTACTGACTGAGAACCCGGCGGTGCTGCCATGATATCACAGTGGCTCCGCCGGATACTCAGTGTGTAATGACAGTTCAGCATCTCCTGGTTACCTAGTGACCAGGGGCCCTGAACTGTCATGAGAGCTTGTTGGAGCCGGCTTTGATATAATTTCCGGCTCCGACAATGACATGAATTTCTTTTTCTGCAGCCCCAGCACTCAATGAATGGGAAGCACTCAGTACAGAGGCTTCTCATTCATTCAGAAACTGATGATAGCAAAATATTTTTACTATCACCACTTTATGAATGGGGAGGAGCCTCTATAGTGAGTGCTACTCCCCATTCATAAATTCTTAAATGAACAGGAAGTGATGTAAATCACCTCCTGTTTATTCAAACAGCTGCAACTATATAATGTAAAGGTCTGTACATTTTACATACTCAAGTTTAAAGCCACAAATTAACAATAACTGGTTGTCAACTGTCCTTAAAGTCTAAACCAATATCTATGTTGACCTTGTGAAGATCATTCAGGATATTTGGTCAGGGCCCATTAAAGGAGAACTATGAGATGATTTCCACTCCTCCTCATAGTTCTAGCCGACCTGTGACAATGAGACTGTCACAGGTCGGCTCAGTAGATCGGGAGGTGAGAGAACACATACCGGGTTCGCTCACCTCTCGATCCTGTCACGGCTCTCTGCCGTGACAGGGGGAGGGGCTGGATTCCCCTCTCCCCGGTCCGATCTGCCAGCGCTGACTGGCGGAACGGACGAGGGGAGGGGGCGGGTACAGCATGCTCTGCCTCTAGATAGGCAGAGCCAGCTGTCACTCACGCAGCTGGGCGGATCCCGACGTCCAAGTCGGAATCCGCTCCGGCTGCGGCGTCTCAGTATACCGCGAGTTGTAGCTCCCTATATACTGAGCTTAGGGTGACGGGAGGACGCTAGTTTGTGTCCTCCCGTTACCCTAAGGAGAACTATGGGGAAAAACACTGACCCCACAGTTCTCCTTTAAAGTCCTACTAGGAATCTATTGCTTTTTTTTTTTAATTATTTATTTTCAGATTCATTTTTCATTAACACAAATTGAAAGAAAATAAGGAACAAACAAAGGGTAAAAAACAAAACAAGGCGGGGCGTGGCCGGCGGCTGCATGTGACTGGTCGCATAACGAAGAGCTCCCGCTCCACGTCCTGCCTATTATCCTGGGGATAGCGGTTACAGAGCCCTTACCTGCACCCGAACCGACCCCGGACCTCTTCATCACCTGCCCGCTCACTCCGGTACCGATCTAGAGGCTGTCCGCGGCTGACATGTCCAAAAAAAAGGACGCCCAGAGGACGGGCCTCGTGCTTCAAAATGGCGGCGGCCAGCAGCATAGGGAGAAGGGAGGTGACACAGCGGCGCGGCTGGAGCGCTTTGCCCGGCAACCAGGGACTCCTGCTAAGCAGCCCCGAGCCGCACAGAACAGACAGAGCAGTGCCAGCAAGGAGACAGTGTTGATTTTTTGACTTACCTTTTTATGTTTTTACCCACCCCCCCCCCTTTTTATTTTTGTTTGTTCTTCACCTTCTTCTACCACAGGACTTCCACTGGTTCCACCTACATATTTCTGCACGGATCCATATCAAGGGGACTTGCTCGGTGGACATTCGAGTGTTGCTGCTGAGTATATCTATGTTACCGTATGCATGTCACAGCCGGTATTTAAGTTAGCCTCCTGGAATGTACGCGGCCTAGGCGATGCTGCTAAACGCCGTTCTATATTTGATAATATTGACAGGAGTGGGTCCTCTGTTGTCTGCCTGCAGGAGATGCATACCACCACAGAAACATGTCATACCCTTGATAGACGGGCCTATCAAGCCACCTACCATTCTTCTCACTCCTCCTATTCACGGGGTGTTTCTATTCTTATCCGTAGAGATATCCCATTCTCCTGCATACAGACAAAGAGGGATGATGTGGGCCGGTATATTTTTCTGCATTGCCGCCTCTTACAGTTTGAATGTATTATTGCTAA